CTGCGAGCCAAACATGCAAAAGTCAAGGATACACAAAGCAGTAGCGGTTCAAACCCTCGAAGCTACAAAGAAATCACTACAAGTTCACAAGGCATAGCGATGCCGCACGTAGAGTAGCATAAACCCCCATCACTGTGTAGGGGGCAAAACACGCACAAAATAACGGACATCGAACGGTCCGGAAATCCACAAGTCACAAATACAAAACATCAACCGCCTGGCGGTCCGAATGAAACAAAGCATCAGACATCTGGAGACCGCTCACTATCCTGCTCCTCCTCATCGCGGGCTTCTTCATCACCTTCATCGTCCGCCTCGGAGTTCACATCAGCATCCGTCCAAGCCCCAATCGCGTCCCAAACCTTGTCAGTATCCCAAACTACATCCGGTTGGTCGCTGCGGAACAAATGACGGATCGCGGCCACAACATCTCCCACTATCTTTTTGTACTTCTCCCCATCAAGGGCCTGGAACTCCGCGGACTGCAGATAGGCCGAACCCGCCTCAGCTCGAGCGGCGGCCAACTCCGCCTTGCGACCCTCTTGGAGGGTGGCCTTCTCCAGCTTGAGGGCGTCTATCCCCTTCTGAAGCGACTCTTGTTCCTCCAATAACGTCCTCCCGATCTCTTCTGCTTGCTGAAGCTTCTTTTGCATACTGTCCCGCTCACGTTCGACCGTCACCCGGGCCTTTTTCTTCGCAGACAGCTCTTCCCGTTGCTTGGACAACCGCTCCTCGAAACCGCGTTCCAAATCGGGTCGCAGCTCTCCTATGAACGCCGACCGCCCTTCAGCCAGATTCTTCTTCAACTTGGCTATCTCAACCACATTCTCATCAACGGTCTTGGATAGGCGGTCATTCAGCATAATGATCTGCGAAAATCCAATCTGAGCCTGCAAAGGGAAAACATGACCACGTCAATCATGTCTCATGACAAGTCCCAATAATCGAAATACAAAAACTCACCGAGAAAAAGAACTGAGAAGCAATCCCAGCGAGTCTTCGGTTGCACCCCTGCGAGGTCGCAGTATACTCCGATGGCATATCAAGCTGATCACTCACAGTATGGAACGCTAGCTCAGCCGCCTCGGTGTCGGTCGCCGCGAGAGGGGGCAAACTTATGGGGTAAGACTGGTCAGTTTGACGAGCGGCCTTGCCCCGCGCCACTCCAGTTCTTCCCTGAGTTACTTTAGGACGCTTCACAGCCCCTTGGGGGCTACCTGTCCCTGGCGGTCTCTTCCCCGCACCACGGGTCACCATCGTAGGAGCAACGGACGCGGCAGCAGAGGCGGCCATCGTTGCTGCGGTCACGGGAGCTGTCTTCCCCGCTACCGTCGAAGAAGAGGGCGCACCAGTCTTTGCAGCAGCGGTTCCTCGCTTCTTCCCTTTTGGCCGGTTCGCATTGGCCAAATCTTTCAGACCTGAAACAAAAAAGAATAAGTAACGTACATGAGAAGACGCGAAAAAGAACAATACGACACCATTTTACTAACCATAGAAGCCGCGCACATGCTGGTAAGCGCTCTCAAGACCGCTACGCGTCACTCGCAGCTGGAATCCCTTTACCAAGCGGCCTACGTGGTCTTTCACTGACTGTGGAAACTGACTAGAGGAACACCACGCCTCCTTAGAGCCGACCGCATAACCCGTCGGCGGTTCCTCATCGCCCGAATACCACTTCCAGGAAGGACGCGCGAAGAAGTACTCCCTGAACCAAGGAGAATCCAACTTCGGCGCCCCAGTAACAAGGCCTACAGCGCCATCCCGCCTCCTGATCGACCAACAATTTGTCGTATCCTGAATCTTATACAACAGGCGAAAAGCATCAAAAGAAGGTTCCTCGTTAAGGCGGTCACAAGCCCAACGGTACATCACCGAGTGAAAGATTATCGTCGGGGACAGGCGTCCCAAGGAGCACCCAAGCCGGAGCAGCACCTGAGTAAGGATGGGGTCTAACGGAAACCGCAACCCCAACTTGACCTGCTCCACATGGATAGGAAGCCATCCGGTTGGACAAGACCCAGAGCGACCGCCCTCAGAAGGGGTCGCGTAAACCCAATCAGAGGGGAGGGTTAGCGACTTCAGACGGTGGAGGACCTGCTCAGGCTGAAAACCCGCCATATACGCCGGTCCCAATTCCAGTACACCAGAAGGAACCGCCTGATCCTCCCACATCCCTTCATGCCGCAAGACAGTATAAACAGGATCCGCAATAACACGAGTGAGCGGTTCCCCATCTCCCGCGTCCAATGTCTCCACAGAAGACGATGTACTCGGATGTGCCTCAGATCGCACGCCCTCACTATCAACCGTTTCATCCTCATCCAAAGGTATGCTACCTAAATCTACCCGCCCAAAACCACCCATGTTATCCCCAACCGCAGACGAAGTAGCCATACCCCCAGCTGGTACAGGGCGGATGTTAGCAAAAGAATCATCTAAGTCTAAAGAGAGACTAAAGAAGCAATCGCGCACTTCAGAACCACTCACAACGTACAATTCTAGCTCGGATAAATCCCACACGCACTCAGAGGCGGTTCTAGTGGGAGAAAAGCAGGTCATACCTTGCACAGCAGCGGCGGTCCCAACAGAGGATCTCGCAACCCTCTTCGCGACGATAGGCGGCTGAGACAGCGCGGCAGCGACCACCGGATTCGACTCCAAAACAACGGTGGGAACGCGGCCGGGATCGGCGGCATCAGCCGTGACAGCCGCCCCATCGCTTCCCACAACAAGGGAAGGCGCCCTCGCCTCGCTCGACATCGGCTGGCGAGCAAGAAGCCGATGTCACCGTTGCGCGGGATGAGTTCGCGCAACCGGCACCAGGTCAAAGCAACGCGCCCAATCGCGAAACGAACAAGAGAGCAAAAAGTAAGAACAGAGACAACCGCACAAAAGCGAAGGAAAGGGGCAAAATCTTACCTGGCGCATCGCTCGGACTATATAGACAAACGTCGGCGAAGAGAGTCGGCGTTCCTCCAAGACAAGGGAGGGAAGAAGACGAACTATTCATAAAAGAGGAAACCAAAATGGCGGAAAAGCTCCCCCCCTAGAGCTACTTAAAGCAAACTTCGGGTCTCCAACCACCCGAAGTGACGTTTTCGCCTAGTCATGTCAAGGCGCCACAATCGAGGTTTGACACGTGGCGGCAATTCGCCGAAATCAAAAGTCGGGGGCGTCCTTAGTGGCCCCTCAGACGTTCCCGCTTCGTACCCTCGCGTCCAGGGGCAGGCGGGTTGTCATGGGTATGGCGTCCATATGACCGCTTAATGATGACAAGATGATCGTTTAGCCGCGAAAGCCCAAAGCCTCTCACGCCTAAGGGGCAAATGTTGGGCCAATCATTAAGACACATGGGCCACCAAGCCCATAAACACTAAGAGGCCCAGAAAGGCGAGCAAGCCCAACCCAGATGGGCCCGAAAATACATCGGACAGTGGTCCAAAGGCGGTCTTCCGCGCCTCTGACCAGGAAGAACCGCCTGACATCGTCTGATCGGGTCCCTGGGTAACCGCCCGACACTCGGGAACAAAGTTCGTCTGACACCTCAGTACGAAGGCTGACAAAGGTACGATCCTGACAGCCTCCTGAGAACAGGTCCTTATGCGACCTTGGACGCCCGACAGGGCATTAATTATCCTCACTCCGACATCCACTAGTATAAATACCCACTCATGGGACACATTTGGGGTAACTTCTATCTACTCCATTCTCTCTCTTATTCATTATATCCACTTCTCTCACTAACTTAGGCATCGGAGGAGGTCCCAGGGCTCCCCTGAGGACCTTTGTTGCAGGACTTCGAAGGTCGCCTCTCATCCTCCCAAGACCGCACGAAGACTGTGAAGCCTCGCAAACCGCCCGGTACATTCCAGGCATAAACAAATAGATTCCGATGAAAAACATGTATATTTGGATCCAAATTCCATATGATCTAAATTTTGATTTGGCATGCCTTTCCCCTGTATATATGTAAGGTAATTAATGAAACTAAATGAGAAAAAATCGCACTCAATCCTATATGTATTGTTTCAATTCTATATCCACACTATGTATTGATAACATTGCTTATACATGAATGGACACATTTATGATTTGTAACATTATTTTCAAGCAGAAATGTAAAATTCTTAATGTTTTGATGTGATAATATAGTTCAATTACAAATCAGGCTGTGAGGAAATTATTGCCACTTGAACAGTGTATGTTTCATCTAGAAGCCCCCAACCTGTATCGTTATTGGCTTATTGTCCATTTGTTTTTATATCAAATCCATGTGCCGTTGGCCGTTGCCCTAAACGACACTCAGGCGTGAGAGCTGAGCGACCGTATCCTGATGGCAAGCTCGTAGTTATCTGCCGGCTCGGAGGTCACTCTGGTCCATCCAGGACCCGCAGCCCTGATATAGTGTTGGCGAGTGGCGAATGGTTGGCGGCCAAAGCATTCGATCGAGCAAGTGGAGAGATCAGGAAGGAAGCTTCCGTTTGGGAGGATTTATTATTTGTTTTGGTTCCTTGTTTATTTTGTTCTAGTAGTTAATTTGAGTGGATGATGATCACTATCCAGCAGCTGCTGAATCTTGACTTTTCTCCCCCACTCCCTCCAAGTCGTCGGTCAAAGCTTTCAGACACAGAATTAATTAATAAAATTACATTAGTGCCTTTGGAAGTTTGTGTCCTGCTGATGGATGAACTGAATCGAACTATTAATGCTTTTGTTCTTTCTCCTTTGTTCGCTTTCTAAATTCTAAGCCAAGCAACCAGAGAGTGACGTAGAAATAAACATGTGCTAATGCTATTTGGTATATCTTCTAGATGTGAAGGGACAGAGGCCCAATGGGCCACATGTTCGAGAGGTAGAAACGGGAAGGCGGTAGCTGTTATTCTGTAAGATGGGCCATATGGTTTTGAGATAACTGGGCCAGGCCCAATCTCTAATCATTTGGATTCGCTACTCTCGATGACCGCTCTGGCGTGCTCTGCTGGAATTGACGCAATTTACCAGGAAATAATCCCTAACGGAGAGCAGCTTTCGTGCAACCTCATCAATCTTCATTCGCTCTCTCGGCGATTCTTCTGCGCAAGCCACCCCGATTTCCAGCACTGAAACGAAGCAGTAATTTCTATGCTGCAAAGCGGCGGTCCTTCTTATCGTGGGCATTACATTCCCATCCTCTTCTTCTTCTTCTTCGATTTCATCCCTGTCCTCTGCTTCGGCTGCGTCCCTGTCCTCTGGTGAATACAGTTTTGGGTCCAACACTGAATATGTATCATTCGGCAGAGCAGCTTTCACAGCGTCGCGCAGGTTCAGCCACCCGGCGCCGCCACCACCGCCGAACATTTCATCAGTTGGCCTTTTTCGGGACATCATTTCCAGCACAAGGATTCCGTAGCTGTAAACATCCCCTTCCTTTGTACCAGTCGTCGCACTCATTCCGTACTCTGCATTGTCAATGGCGGTTTCAGCCGATGAAAGTTTTACTGAATTGTGTGATTCATTACTCAAGAAACTATGATGTGGTAGGTAATTAGCATTGAGTTACCTGGAGGAGCATATCCGATCGTTCCCCTCACACCAAGGCTACTCGTTTTGCTCCCAGATAACGAGCTGTGATGATCAGCTTCGACCGACAGAAGCTTGGCGAGACCGAAATCGCTTACATGAGCTACCATGTCCGCGTCCAGTAAGACATTGCTGGGTTTCAAATCACAGTGGATGATGGATCCTCCTCCATTGAGTTCGTGAAGGTAGTGCAGTGCAGTTGCTACATCCAACGCGATGTTGATTCGTTGTATCATGCTTAAGTTGGGATGATCATCATCATCCGAGTGATGAAGCCACTTCTCCAAGCTTCCATTCTCCATGAATTGGTAAACCAGAGCGTTGAAATTGTTGCCCTTATAGTCCAAGCTAGAGCAGAAGGTTATGAGCCTTACAAGGTTTCGATGGCGAACATTCTTCAAAGCTTTGCACTCTGCCTTCAGACTCTTGTCCACTTTGTTATCCCCGTTTCTGAGCACCTTAATCGCCACCGGTGTTCCGGTATGCTCTAGTACACCTTTGAACACCATGCCAAAACCACCTGACCCGATCGAGTTGGCTGCAGAGAATCCATTAGTTGCCTGATGGAGGTCTTTGTACGAAACCGCGACCAATTTACCCAAGGCAAGATCATCAAACACTTTTTTCTTGTTTGATCTTCTTCTACTCATGTAATAGAAGAATATTCCCCCTAGCACGAGGATAGAGAGGAACAAAGAAGGAACCATTATGGTTAACAACTTCACCTTGAGAGACCTCTTAGTGTTGTTCCTTTGAGTTCCTCCGCATTTGGGCAAATGCAGTTGCGAGACACCACCACATAGCATCACGTTAGCTCCGGCTAAAGATAAGGCGCTTGTGTTGGAAAAAACTCCGCCAGTTGGCACCTCGCCACCAAGATCATTGAAAGAAAGGTTCAAGTACTTCAAACCATGAATGTTCTGCAGAGGCAACGGGATTCTTCCAGTTAAACTGTTGTGGGAAAGATCCATTTGCTCTATTCCTCCCAGAGAAGCCAAAGCGTCAGGAATCTTTCCAGTGAATGAGTTGCTCTGTAGGTATAGGTTCACCAAGCTCTTACAACCACCCATCACAGCAGGAATTTCACCTGTGAAGTTATTGTGTGAGAGATCTAATGAAGTAAGAGATTGAAGTTTCCATGCTCCTCCAGGTAGATGGCCTGTGAATGAGTTCCGCGACAGGTTCAGTAATATCGAAAGGGTGGCCAGTTGCATTATCTCCGGAGGAACCATCCCGTCCAACTTATTACTCGAAACATCTAACAGATCCAACTTCTGACCGCGGACAATATCTGAAGGTAGATTCCCTTGCAATTCATTGAATGAAATGTCTATTTCAAACAGCTTGGTGAGGTTTCCTATGGAGGAAGGGATCCGACCTGAGAGCTGGTTTCCTGAAAGTTCAACTCTTTGTAAATTCGTAAGCTTTCCAAGGAATGATGGGATGGGTCCTGTGAAGTGATTGACGGTCAAGTCCAATTCAGCCACCTGAATGAGATTCCCGAGCCCTTCGGGGATGAATCCTGTGGCCTGATTGACACCCAGGTATAATTGCTTGAACGTGGAAGCCGAAAAATTTGCTAAGGACTCTGGAAGCTGTCCCCCCAAGTTGTTCAAAGAAACACCCACACGGGTCAAATGGCTGCAATTCACCAGCGACTTCAGGAACGCGAAGTCGCCAGTCGAATTGCTCCCAAGGTTGTTTGCAGCGGCGTCCAGTGTTTTGAGTGTTGGTACATTTCCGAGGCAGTCGGGGATCCGGCCTTGGAAATGGTTGTAGTTCATGTTCAAACTCAGAAGTTTGGAGGCATTGCAGAACGAGGCAGGGATGTATCCTGTGAACGCATTCCTCGAAATGGCAAACATCTGAAGATTAGGCAGAGTGTAGGCAATGTCCCGTGGCAGATCCCCCTGGAACTGGTTTACCGTGAGTGTCATCATGTTGAGCGATGATAGATTGTAAAGAGACTCAGGAACGATGCCAGAGAGCTGATTGACACCTACGACGAACATCTTTAAACTCGAGATCCGGCCATAGCTTTCTGGTATGCTCCCCACCAGCCAATTGTATGCAACATGGAATTCGATGAGCATCGAAAGATTTCCCAAGGAAGGAGGGAGTTCTCCCGTGAGATTGTTGATCCCGAGTTGCATATACTCGAGTTTGTTTAGCGTTCCTATCTCCGGAGGGATGGGGCCGGTCAGGTTATTTCGCTTCAACAACAAGAAGTTGAGTCGGAAGCAACGAGTCAAGTTGAGGGGTATTTCGCCGGTGAATAAGTTGTCGGAGAGATTGAGGTGGCGGAGGAGGAGCAAGTTGCCGAGTTGCTGGGGGATTTCTCCGAGGAAGGTGTTGCCTATGAGGCCGAGACCCTGCAGAGAGGTGAGATTGCCTATGTAAGGGGACAAAGTGCCTACTAGATGTTGGCGGTCCAGGGACAAAGACATGACTCGAGTGTCACCTGAATTGCAGGTGACTCCGAACCAACTACAGAAATGGAGGGAATCGTTCCAAGAGCTGAGAATCATATTGGGGTCGTCGGTGATTCCTTGTTTGAAGTGAAGCAAGGCGAGCCGGTCTGTGTCGTTGCTCGAAGCTGTGGCCTGCTGACACACGACGACGACTGAAGTGATGGAAGCAAGTAGTAGAACTAGCAAGTGGCGATGCAAGGGAGGCTTTTGATGGCAAGATGGAAGACATTGAGAATGTGTTTGCTTTATCATTGGGAATTCGTTAGAAGGCTAGTAAGCGAAGAATGGAGGTGATTATCAAGGATGGTTGTGGGAGGCCCTTTTATAGGCAGATTTTGACATGTCCATAATTTATTTACAATGTTCTAAAAGGAAGTCAAATGGTATCGTAATGTTAAAAAATTACAGTATTGTTACTTTGAAATTTCGTCACCATTGATCGGTAACTAGATAAACATCTAATTTGGTATGTATAAGTATAACGCCTTGAGGCTGAATTTCGACCGTTACAAATAAGCTTTCCAATACACCAGCAGTGATAATTATGATCTCATATTACGAACATGTGAAATTATAGTAAAAAAAAAAAACTAGTTAAATGTATAGCATAGCACTAGCCATTTAAACCCGGTTTATTTTCAATGAATCCAAATTAGTAAATTCATACCAATCTATTTTCGAAAACATTGACCAGACCCATGATTAGAAAAAGCTTGAATTGTGCACCAACTCCTAGAGAATGTCAAAGTTTCCTAGGTATTCAAGGTTTGCTCATGTGCTTATGACATAGACAGAATGCAGCCACAAATTTGGTACATGTAATGTTGCAAATGAATGAAACCAACAGTATAATAGTTCATGAATTATTAGCTGAGAACTGAGATCATTTAGTTTACATTCGAGTGTGGTTGTTTGTTCATGCATGACATATGGCCTTTGAATGGACTTTTGACGTGATGAATGTCCCAATCATCCATAGCCCAAGGGTTATGTGCATTCCTTTTTCCTGGAAGAAGTGGCAATCGAGTTTTCATACATTGGAGTAATCGATTTGTGCTTTGTATAAAACAAATCTGTAATATATGTGGGTGGGTTTAAAATGAATAGTTTTTGGTTGGATGAAATATGGATGGATGGATTTGAAGAATTGAGTAAGAAAGGTTAACAAACTCATCGGGATAAAATCGAGTAAGGTTTAATTAGCGAAAGCAACACACTCATTATTTTACTCAGTTCTTGCATCATTATCAGGTTGAATTATTTTACCTGGTTTCGTTAATGTTAATTGGCGTTGACTGTTAGTATTTAACAGAAAATTTAGTCAGCATCTCTGTGGCGTATGACATTGAATTTGAATAGTTTAGAACACAAATGACACTTTTTGGATAGTTTGAGCTTGCTAGTGGAATTAACCCTTATTTTAATACTACAATAACTATCACAAAAACATATAATGTAAACTACAATACACCAATTTCCTTAATCAAATGTATGTTAATATACATGCATTGATCACAATGCCTCGATTTAACTATCACCAAAACAAAACAAACCTTAACATATACATTAAGGAGTCTTAGCCACTATAAGTATGATATGATCCACTTTTACTATATGTGTGAACAGTGGCGGTAGGGATGACAACAAATTGGGTTGAGGACGGATATTGCATATTCATTATCCTATCCAAAATGGTTCAGCGTTTATTCATGCTCATACTTATATAAGAATCGAGTAGAATATCTAAACCATACCATATGCGATAAGGTTTCAGGTATCCAAGGTTATTGATAGATAATAATTTCTTACTATAACTTCAACCAATATACTAACATTACGTAAGTTACAAACAATACAACTTTATGAAAATATTATTGAGGAGACACTAAAAACTCTAGCTTTACGAATTTGAAATATGATAATTAAGAAGGGAGACTAAAAACTTACCACCTATTTCATTTTGCATTTGTTCACAAAGTTTACATATATAATTTTATTAGCCCTAAAACTGTGTGTGAAGCTAAGCTAGTGTTCCTCTTGACAGTTAACACACTATGACAAATTGACAATGATAAGATTTAACCATTGCAAATTGGGTTAATACCTTAGTTTGGCCTGAACTATACACATACTTTCTACTTTGGCCCGTGGTATTGGAAATTGCTATTCTAGCCTGAACTATGTAGCAAATTTCCTCATTTGGCCTAGAGGCGGGTTTGACAGTTAAATTAGACGGTCAAACTTGTTGACCGTTAGTCAATGTCCACCTCACCTGTCACGTCAGCTTTGAGGACATAAAAAATATATTTTTTTTTATTTCTGAATTTTGTTTTCTTGTCATTTGCTGAAAATGGGCTCTTTTTCGTTCTTTTAATTAATTTTTTCTGATCTATTATTTTTATTAATTGAAAGAAAATAAAATTCAGAAATAAAAAAATACTTTTTTATGTCCTCAAAGCTGACGTGGCAGGTGAGGTGGACATTGACTAACGGTCAACAGGTTTGACCGTCTAATTTGACGGTCAAACCCGCCTCCGGGCCAAATGAGAAAGTTTGCTACATAGTTCAGGCCAGAATAGCAATTTTCAATACCACGGGCCAAGGTAGAAAGTATATGTATAGTTCAGGCCAAACTAAGGTATTAACTCTTGCCAATTTGCGTGCAGGGGCCACCGGGGTTTTGGAGGGCGGGGTACAGAAGCCCAATGGGCCACATGTCTGTAATTCGAGCTGTGACCGGTAAGATGGGCCGTATAGTTTCGAGATGAACGAGCAGGCCCAATCTCTAATTGTTCGGATTCCTTACTCTCGATGGCTGCTGGCTTGCTCTGCCGGAATTGATGCAATTCGCCTGGAAATAATCCCTAACGGAGAGCAACTTTCGTGCAACTTCATCAATCTTCATCCGCTCTCTCGGCGATTCTGCAGCGCAAGCCACCGCGATTTCCAGCACTGAAACGAAGCAGTAATTTCTATGCTGCAAAGCGGTGGTCCTTCTGGTTGTTGGCATTACATTCCCAGTACCTCCCTCTTCTCCTTCTTCTTCGTTTTCATCCCTGCCCTCTGCTTCGGCTGCGTCCCTGTCCTCTGGTGAATACAGCTTTGGATCCAACACTGAATATACATCATTCGGCAGAGCCGCTTTCACAGCGTCGCGCAGGCTCAGCCACCCGCCATCACCGCCGAACAATTCATCAGTTGGCCTTTTCCCGGAGAACATTTCCAGCACCAGGATTCCGTAGCTGTAAACATCGCCTTCTTTTGTACCATTCGTGGCGCTCATTCCGTACTCTGCATTGTCAAAGGTAATTTCAACCGTTTAAGTTTTATTAATTGTGTGATTCATAACCCATTAAAGTATGATGTGGTAATTAGTTACCTGGAGGAGCATAACCGATCGTTCCCTTCACACCAAGGCTACTCGTTTTGCTCCCGGATAACGAGCTATGGTGATCAACTTCGGTTGACATAAGCACGGCAAGGCCGAAATCGCTCACATGAGCTACCATGTCCGCGTCCAGTAAGACATTGCTGGGTTTCAAATCACAGTGGATGATGGATACTCCTCCGTTGAGTTCGTGAAGGTAGTGTAGTGCAGTTGCCACATCCAATGCAATGTTGAGTCGTTGGATCATGCTTAAGTTGGGATTGCCATCATCATCGGAGTGATGAAGCCACTTCTCAAGGCTTCCATTCTCCATGAATTGGTAAACCAGAGCGTTGAAATTGTTGCCCTTATAGTCCAAGCTAGAGCAGTAGGTTATGAGCCTCACAAGGTTTCGATGACGAACATTTCTCAACGCATTGCACTCTGCCTTCAGACTCTTGTCCACTTTCTTATCCCCGTTTCTGAGCACCTTAATGGCCACAAGTGTTTCGGTATGCTCTAGTACACCTTTGAACACTATGCCAAAACCACCTGACCCGATGGAGTTGGCTGCAGAGAATCCATTAGTTGCCTGATGGAGGTCTTTGTACGAAACCGCTGCCAATTTACCCAACCCAAGATCATCAAACACTTTCTGCTTGTTTGATCTTCTGCTACTCATGTAATAGAAGAATATCCCCAATACCACGAGCAGAGATAGAAACAAAGAGGGAACAAGTATGATTGACAACTTCACCTTGAGAGACTTCCTTGTGTTGTTCTTCTGAGTTACTCTGCATTTGGGCAAATGCAGTTGCGAGACACCACCACACAACATCGCGTTAGCTCCTCCTAACGACAAGATGCTAGTGTTGGAAAAAATCCCTCCAGTTGGCACCTCGCCACCAAGGTCATTGAAAGAAAGATTCAAGTACTGCAAACTATGAATGTTCTGCAGAGGCAACGGTATTGTTCCAGTTAATCTGTTGTGGGAAAGATCCATTTGCTCTATCCCTGCCAGAGAGGCCAAAGCTTCAGGAATCTTCCCAGTGAATGAGTTGCTCTGTAGGTATAGGTACACCAAGCCCTTACAGCCACCAATCTCAGCAGGAATTTCACCTGTAAAGTTATTGTGAGAGAGATCTAATGAAGTTAGAGACTGTAGTTTCCATGCTCCTCCAGGTAGATTTCCTGTGAACGAGTTCCATGACAGGTTCAGTAATTTCGAAAGGGTGGCCAGCTGCATTATCTCTGGAGGAACCATTCCATCCAACTTATTACTCGAAACATCTAACAGAACCAACTTCTGAGCACGGGAAATATCTGCAGGGAGATTCCCTTGCAATTCGTTGAATGAAATGTCAAGTTCAAACAACTGGGTGAGGTTGCCAATGGAGGAAGGGACCTGACCGGAGAGTTGGTTTCCTGCAAGTCCCACTCTTTGTAAATTTGGAAGCTTTCCAAGGAAAGATGGAATGGGTCCTGTGAAGAGATTGGTCGTCAAGTCCAAATCAGTTAACCGAAGGAGATTCTGCAGCCCTGCCGGGATGAATCCTGTGGCCTGATTGACACCTAGGAACAGTTGCTTGAACGTGGATGCCGATAAATTTGCTAAGAAATCTGGAACCTGTCCCCCCAAGTTGTTCTCCGCAACGCCCACTCGTGTCAACTGGCTGCAATTTGCCAGCGACTTCAGGAACGCAAAGTCCCCAGTCGAATTGCTCCCGAGGTTGTTTGCAGCGGCATCCAGTTCACCAAGCGCCGGTAAATTTCCGAGGCAGTCAGGGAGCCGGCCCTGGAAATGGTTCCGGTTCATGTTCAACATCTGAAGTCCAGAGGCATTGCAGAAAGAGGCAGGGATGTTTCCTGTGAACGCATTGCTGGAGATGGCAAACATCTGGAGATTAGGCAGAGTGAAACCAATGTCCTGTGGCAGAGTTCCCTGGAACTGGTTCATCGTGAGTGTCATCATGTTGAGCGATGATAGATTGAAAAGAGATTCAGGAACGACACCGGATAGCTGATTGACACCGACGATGAACATCTTTAAGCTGGAGAGCTGGCCGTATCTTTCTGGAATGCTCCCCACCAGCCCATTGTATGCAACACCGAAATCGATTAGCATGGAAAGATTTCCTAACGAAGGAGGGAGTTGTCCCGTGAGCTTGTTGGTTCCAAGTCTGAGATACTGGATCTTGTATAGTGTCCCAATCTCCGGAGGGATTGGGCCGGTGAGGTTATTTCGCTCCAACAACAAGAAGCTGAGTCGAAAGCAACGAGTCAAGTTGAGGGGTATTTCGCCCGTGAAGTAGTTGGCAGAGAGATTGAGGTGGCGGAGGAGGAGCAAGTTGCCGAGTTCCTGAGGGATTTCTCCCCTGAAGCTGTTGTCTAAGAGGCTGAGACCCTGAAGAGAGGTGAGGTTGCCTATGTAGGGTGACAAAGTGCCTACTAGACGTTGGCGGTTCAGGGCCAAAGACATGACTCGAGACGGGTTGGAGTCATCAGGATGACAGGTGACTCCGAACCAGCTACAGAAATGGACTGAATCGTTCCAAGAGCTGAGAACCATGTCAGGGTCGTCGATAATTCCTTGTTTGAAGTGAAGCAAGGCGAGCCGGTCTGTGTCGTTGCTCGAAGTTGTGACCTGCTGGCAGCAGACGAATGAAGTGATGGAAGCAAGTAGTAGAAGTAGCAAGTGGTGATGCAAGCGAGGGCACTGATGGCAAGATGGAAGACATTGAGAATGTGTTTGCTTCATCATTGGTAGCTAGCATATAATGAAGGTGATTCATCAAGGGTGGTTTTGGGAGAACACTACGCTGCCCTTTTATAGGCAGATGTTGAAGGGTGGATTGGATGAATGATTAAAACCCTTGACCAATATAATTTTGTAAACATTGACCCAACCCCTTGATTAAAAAAAAAAACATTGATTGTTCACCAACTCCTAGAGAATGTCAAGATTTAGTAGTTATTCAGGATTTGCTTATGTGCTATGACATAGACAGGATTCAGCCACAAATTTGGTACCTGCAATTTTGCAAATTAATGAAACCAACAGTATTATAGTTCATGAACTATAAGCTGAGATAATTAAGCACTCCCGTTGACCTTCGATTGTGGTTAGTTCATCCATGACATATGGCCTTTGAATGGACTTTGGACAATGTTGATGAATGTCCCAATCATCCATTGCCCAAAGCTTATGTGTATTCCTTCCTGTTCTATCTCTTTCCATAACCGAAACAGATCGAACAAGCACTTTGACCAAGATCATCAGTAGTTGTGGCAGGAAGAAGTGGCAATCGAATATTCGTGGATTGGATCAACCGATTCGTAGTTTGTATAATCCGTAAATAGGTTTGTTTAAAATGAAATTTTTGTAGTTGGATCGTACATTTGATTATGGTTCTTATTACTGTTTGAACATAAATGGCTTGTACGCCACAAGAGAGTGGGACAGCCCACGTATAGCACCACAAGCCGCAGCAATCGCCACCACCAAGCAAACCAAGTTGAGCAGCTGCAGCCCTATCCAATTAGGCGCCGGCGGCCGCCTCCCACCGCCGCCGCCACTCCGCCGGATCAGCTTGCTCTGCGCAATGTGCATCTCCACCGGGAAATACACGGTGAGGGGCCAGTACGAGACCGCACCGAGCAACGCGAGGACGTCGTTGAAAAACGGCACCGCCATCGCCACCACGGTTGCTGCCGTCACCAACGCCGTCCTCCCGACCAGCCTGAGAGGGTTGACGGTGAAACCAGCAGGAGCGGACTTGCCGCCGAATATTGCAGTGGGTAGTCTTATGCGGTACTCTTTGGTGACGAACTCTGAGTCTGGCCACTTGTTGCTGGCCCATGCTTCGAACCTCATGAACACGGGTTGTGCAGTCACCTGGAACACGAGAACGAATATTGAGAAGGCAAAATAGTGATTTCCAGCCTAAAATATTTAGAACACGATCGACACTAAACTGTTTTCTAGTCACGAGAATTATTTTCGTCATGAATGTACACTAATAGTCACGACCTTTTATTCACGGGATATATCTTGTTAATAGATGTATCTCCCGTGTCTAAATGCGTTTTTTTTCCTCTCACGGGTTTATGACTTTATGTTACAAAATTCGACACTAGTTATGAGGTTTTCCGTGATTCATCATTACAAATTATCACGGGAAGGAATACTATGACTACTTATAAATACGAGAATTACATATTTTTCCTTCACCATTAAATTAGATCCGGAGCTTTATATTACAATAATTTTCTCGTCGCTAAAACTATCAAATACGAGATATTTTCAAAACGAAAGAGGCTTTTTTTTTTCTGCAGTGCTACTTGTCTGTTCAAGCAACGTGTGAAGTAGGCTAGGTTTACCTGAAAAGCGCCAACGAGGTGAATTACAATGCAAACGTTGGCGAGATCTATCAGCCAGAAGGGCTCGTAAAAGCCAGAGGCAGATAGCATGTTTCCCGGCGCGCGGTTGCCGAAAGCAGCATAACCAAAGCAACCGCACAAGAGGTAGAAAACTGTTGACACAGAAACTGCTACGCCGCTTGCCTTCTTCATCACTTTGTTCTCTGCTGGCGTTGATCTCAGTGTATCCTGAATTTTCGATCAATCTAAGAACTAAAATTCACGGCAGAAATACGAATTAATGGCGGAGTAAGAGCAACATTATATTGAAAAGTTGTTCATACTTGGATTTCGATGAGAATGGCGGAGTAAGAGCAAGCAAAAGCCATGTCGCCGATTGCGGTGCACATCCTCCATATCTTATCCATCCCATTCGCCTCCACTCCCGTCAAACTACTACTCGTTTCTCCTTTTCCTGCACAAATCACACCATCGTAGGCAATTAATGTTGGAATTTTATATACAATTGAAAATTGATGAGGTAAAATTTCAATAGTAAAATAATTGGATTTTTAAGGTCCAAAAATAATATTAATAAGACAAATCGTGAATAACAAAAATACACTTAACATTTAAATTAATAATTCCTCAAAGTTAATTTTAGAAAGTGGTGAATCAACGATGATTAATGAGTTGTTGTGAATTGATGATGGCTGATGCGGTGGCTAGTGAGAGAGAACTAGATGATCGATGTTGATGGAGTAAAAGGGCGCGAAAAGACGTTATGTTATATATGCTAATTTAGGAGAAAATAAGTTAATCGCACATAAATATGCGACCTTAATCCGTTAACTCAGTTTGATTTAAGTCAATCAATTCAACATGGATCTTAAAATCGTTAAAATCCTTGAAAGTTGTAAGATTTCAATGATTTAAAATTGTGAATAGTGTAGAAATTTAAGGACTATATACCACTATTTAAATTTTATAGTGAAACCAGAATCATCAAATTTTAAAAATTTGAATCCAGATTTTGACTAATCCGTGTGCGTTATATAACGTGCATGCACGAGAAGCATATGGCCGATCTTGTCGAGCTAAACTTATAAACCCAAGTACCGGAGGCGACGCGGGCGACGGCAAGTCCGAGCCCAATGGAGGCGTAGAGGAAAGACATGATGGCGGCCAGAACCGAGAGCCAGGCGAGCTTGTGAAAATTTGGGATTTGGGACACTACAATCTCAGCAACGCCCATCCCTACAAGGTAAAGGTTGGTGGAGAATTTGCAAGACGCAGCATGCCCTCTTTTGTGCAAGCAGTCCGACTTCCGGATCGCCCTGCATTTGATCATTTCATTTAATTATAAACAAGCTGGCCAAGCTAATTAGTACGTACGTAACATCTATATATCAATCGGTCATATTCATATAGGTACAAAATAATAATAATAATAATAATGTTCCAACTACTTACACCATGCTGATTGATGCAGTAATGGCGTAGCCAATGGTGGCGCCGCACAGCATGACGCACTGGACGATCCCGCAGGCCCACTCCATCCTCCGGCCCAAGTAGGCGTTCACGGCTTCCATGTACGTGTAGTTTCTCTTGCCGGTGGAGTGGTGGCGGTAGCAGTCGGAGAGAAGGCGGGAGGTGTAGTAGGTGATGGAGGAGAAGAGCAGCAGAGTCGCCGGTCCGGCGATCCATCCCAGCTGGGCGATCCCCCACGCCAGTGATAGAACGCCGGACCCTATTATCGCCGTTATTATGTGCGCGCTCGCCGTCCACACCGTCCCTGCACCATCCAAATTGAAGTTGATTAATTAATAATAGATTCGAATTTGCGCGATCGAGGGTTTGACGATTTAGTAGTATCATATTGCTAATTTTTCAATTCGGAGGTACGAATTTCATGTTGGATTTTTCCTCTCTTATGCATCTACATCAAGATTGTCAAGCCGGTTTAATGGCCGGTCTGATTGTGGTCCAACCTGTTTGAGTTGTTTATACATTTTTCTAAACCTATACACAAGTAAGGTGGTAAGTGGTAATTAAAAGATGTAATCAATAATCTACTAAGCTTATGAAATAAGCAATTGGACATATATAGTCAGTCCACGAGTAGTGCACCAACAATCTAGCTGTAAAAAGGTGCATCGATAATAATTAAGGCTAGACTTGCATCACAATGCAAACCGATTAATGTGATGGCTCGACCAACTTTAGGGTAATTAGAAGCTTCTTGCTCAAACTTCCATCACTAATCTACATCTACACTACTACTAATGTCTTAATGTTATAACATCATCTAGATCCGTCTACTTCAACTACTAATTAACAAACAACAATCTTCGCGAGTTCAATTTCTACGACTTTGTCCTGGATCGTACACAGTGAAATTTTAACAAATAAATCACTCCGTTAACTTTTTTTTTAAACTCAACTGCATCAATAATGAGTCCTTGACTACGAAGTCCGTAAATTACGAGTGATGACTAATACTAGACTATATTCGATAATTTCTCCATCTTTCAACTTCATACCAAAAATTTCAATTTAATCATATCATTGATTCATTTAACACCGTATCAGAGCTTGTTATAAAAGAATATATATAGTTTAAGAACGTTTCTTCTGAAGTAAAAATGAAGCAAAACTTTTTTTAACAGAAAATAAAGAACGTTTCTAGCTACAACGGTTTTCGCGAAAGATCCGGTCGTAATTATTTCCAACAAATTGGGCAACATACCAGTTCTCATGGGCTTGCCATCATCGTCGACTTCCGGTAGACCCACAACCCCGCCGGCGAGCTGCCGGAAACCAGACGGCGCTTCATCAACTTCCCCCCGGTGGGACGCTACGGCGGCGCCCAGTTCTAGCCCGCCACCACCAGCCGTCGTAGCACTCATGTTTAAGCTGAGATATGATGATAATTAGCTGCGTGCGACTTAATCATTTATATATGAAGTTGAACAATTAAATAAGGTGGAGAATACTTTGGAAAAGAGGATTAAAGGAGAGATGTGGAGGGATGGAACAGAGAGCTAGATAGGGAATATTAACATGATCAAGATAAGCCAAGCCGATTTATTGAATTAAAGTTGGTGGGTAGGGAATTACACTAACTACTATAGCCATTATTATGGTATTATTGACTAATGAGTTGAGTATGTTAAGATACCCTTCAAAGTGTCTCTTCTTTTCTGGCTCTCAATCATTATGCTCGATGAATACACACGACTTGATTGAGAAGGTATTGAATTCGAGTCTTTGGTGAACACTATTTTTGCGACATTCGTTTGGAAGATGGCCACAAATAGAGTTGTTGTTGTACTCATTTAAAACTTGGTTGATTCTCTTCATGGGCCAATATGTACGTAACAAATTCTCTATATATGAAGTGATGGAAGGTATGAAACTGATTTCTTAGCTAACTGGAATCGTTGGTAAACTTAGTTAGATTAGCCTATGAAAAACATGACCTAACTAGGGAGAGGGTGTTGGTGAAGGGATCATATAACCAATTGTTTAGTGGTACATAGAGATGTGTTTGGACTTAGTAAGTTACACCTCATAACGGTTAGCTTGCTTAAATATGTTTGCCAATAATGTTGAATGAATATATTACAACCGTCTTTAGTGAAAGGCACAGTAGACTTTATGCAAGCATTTATGCCCTAACTTGAGATATTAATTTCTAATGTAGAAAGATGAAGAGTTCTTGGTACAAAAAAGATGTGTATAGCTTTTGGACCATTGTGAAGTTTCAAGATATCTAAGGGTCAAGGATAGTTGAGAACTTTCACTTCTTCTCATGACCTTTTCCTAGTCTATAATATCGGAGAAAATTGAAAGGTATCCAATTTTAAATCAGTACCCTCTCTCTTATCTATTGGATCATCGTCACAGTTTTGTCACTAGTCGCTCCTGCCAAGGTTGTCAATCGTGCATTCTTAAGTGGTGAGTACTTGTACTACCGGGATGAATGTTCAAGCTATGTAATATTAAATAGAAAAGTTGGGAAAGTAGGGAGTTCCAGATACCATCACAAAATTACAGTATTATCGTCAAAATATCATTGTAAGTTTTTTTGACAAGTTTGTATTTAAAGTGTTATTGATAAAGCATATAAATAATAATTTTGTGGAATCGTTCTCTTTTGAGAGATTATAAAGTGGATCCATATCTTTTGGTAATAGAAATAGACATGATAAGTGTGCTATAAATCGAGTCGTATGGTGGTTGTTAAAAGATGGGGAAAGGGAAGTGAGGGGGTTAGGTGCCTAGGTGGGTGGTGTTTACCATTCAGAATGCTAATGTTCCTTAATTCGCCATCTTTGCCATTTCCCCCCCTTTCTTTGTTGTTGTGTAGGAATGAAGCTTTGATTCCTTGTCTAGATGTTTTTAGAAAATAATCCCAACATCATTCACCAAAAGTCAAGGTTACTTGCACACATAATAATAGTTCAACTTTGCTCCACATTTGCAAAATTAACCTTTCATCGCCCAACTTTGCTCCGCATTATGATCCTAAATTAGGTTTAAAAAAATTACTTACTCCGCATAATACACGATATTCTCGAAAATATAATGCTTATATCTGACTCGATTTTTAGTACTTTTCCACTACAAAAAGTGAAGCAGAGTCAAATGCTTCATCTGCGATCAGAATAAAATTAGGTCGAATACCGTTACAGCTTTCACTTATCTGTAAACATCTGCAATTAGGCAAACTAGCTCTGCAAAATGTATGCTTCATCGAAGAAAAAAGCAAGTAATGGTATACTTATGGCAGTAGATTTATGGACACTTGAAGAGAATAAGATGATTGATAAATAATGATAAATAGCAATATCATTTCACCACAGCCATAATCAAGATGACGATCTACTAATAAAAATGATTATCTACGAACTAAAACCCATCATCAAGTACCAACTCTGCTAGTCGTCGCCAGAATTGTGCTGCCAAAAGTCTTTCCCTTTTTTTCTGTTTTCATGGTCGGAAAAGAATCCCAATAGCGTTGATACTTGAGAGTGTTATCTGCTATATATGATGCATTCATCCCACTGTAATCCATATTCAGATAGATTGAATCAGAAACCATTTCCTCAAAGCGAGCCTGGAAAACAGAAAACATAGTACCTGGGAAGATGTTTGTGAGAAAGGTTTTATTTAGTACCTTCTTTCAAGGAAAGTGTGTCCAAGTGAATCAAAACTCTGTCTGTGCACAAGCTACAAAATATCTTTGCTATTTTCGCCATCCTCCAAGCAAATTCAGTGTTGACTATATGTAGTCATTTCCTCACTGCTGACAGTAGGTACCTTTTCATATTCAGAAGTTCCCCTACATCGTTTTGGAAGAATGCAACGGCCACCAAACCTCTGCTGCGAGTAAACGATTGCAGCAAACAGTAAACCACCTATAGGGATGATAATGTTCCAAGATGTGGAGTAGAAATCCATTCTGTGGTTTGCATAGATATAAGACAAGTCGAGGTACCAGGAGGAACTATGAGCCCTGTAAAGGTCATATGCATGTGGCAACAAGCGGACAATAGTCGTTCCCATGCAAAAAGGCAAGGAAAGAGCTTCTTCGCTCGAGTTCAGAAATAAGTTGAAAACTATCTGTGGGAGCAAAAACCCGTCAAGGATGAGCCCAGCATAAGACTTGAAATGATCCCAAGGATAATGCTGCTGCTGATAAAACCTTTGACGAGGTCGAAGATATGATTTTGTGTAGGAATTCTTCCACTGGTGTGCATACCAAGCAAGAAACCCACCGGCTGCATAAAGTGGTAAGGAGAAATAAACAACCCTTCTCTCAGAAAGCCACAAGCTTTTCTGACGTTCAGCAGTCTGCCTAGAAGTCCAAGAAAGTTGGAGAAGGCGGAACTGGAGGAGGAAGGCTACCATTGTAACCATCCTCACTACTATTTCATTCACCTCCAGCCACCCACCACTCCCGAGAAACACATTCTGTCTGCCCGAGGTTGATCCGAACATCGCCTCAAAGTTTAACAGCAATGGTATCATGTGGCCCAATGTCAGAACAACAAGCATAACAAAGGACAAGAAGGGCAGGACTTCAGGGTGCTTACTTACATGATAAAGTTGCAGCCCCACAAAGATACAAGCAAGAGTGTTAGTAACTAAGACGAGGAGAATCTCTATATCCATTCTCCAGATGGAGTCTGCGGCTTGCTTAATGTAGACTGAATGCGAAGATATCTGAAGTTTGCGAAAGTAAAGAGGATCTTCCTTGCCCCGCATACTTTCAATGCTTCCTTTGATATCAGCTCTAACTTTTGAATTCAGAGGAGCAAATTGCATGGTGATAAGGATCTTACAATCAGTTGTCTCATTTCTAGTAGGGTGTTTAATATGAGATACCAAATGGCGGCAACCAATCATGCACAATACACCATTCTCTTTGTTATAAGTACCTTCAGCCGAGAAATCAACAGACCTATTAGACAAAATCTCATCTCCAAGCTCAAAATCAGAAGATGGTGTGAAGCTGATCTTGTAACTGAGATTCAGGCGACTGTTAGTTCCACTGTGCATTCGGTATGGCTCAAACAGCTGCTCACCCACAAAAAAAGGTGATGCATCACCTTCGGCTTTCTCTCCCTTGCTGTTGGTCACTGACATATCAAATCTCATGTCGTAGGAATAAGGACTAGGGTACGTCCCTTTTCCTTTTGAGATTTTCTTTTCAGCACAAGATTTACCAACCAAGTCAAGCATAGTGTAGTCATATCTCAGCCCAGGCAGACCCGTTACTTTATTCTTAGTGCCATGAAAACCAATTGGGGGAAAGTAGCCTGCCTCACTAACACTCTTGCTGCTCGAAATTTGACCAACTACATTACTCCTATGTTGAATCGTCATCTTCTTGGGAAATCTCAAGTTCAATTGAATCGAGCAATCGCCAACAGAAGCATTATGCAATGAACGGTGAAACCCCAAGACTCGACATGCTATCACACATAGCTTATTCTCCTTTTCATCCCATGCTCCCTCACCGAGTAGCATATTATTCGGGTTGAAAACTCTACCATAACCAAAAGCTCGAGACCAATATTCAATAGAGTCAGGAAACCCAACTAAGACTCTCATACCACGGTTGGGTTCACATCTAATACCTTGAATAGTCATGAAACCAGGCAAACCCTGAGAATCAGCAGTAAGAGGATTGCATTTGCTGCCATTCGAGCTATCGCTACATTCGCTGCCATACTCCAGTTCAAAGCTCCTTGCATGCTGGTACAACTGAGATAAGCATACACTTTGATCCTTCAACTCAATAGGAAGATTCTGTTCCATTCCACCATTACTTCTCAAACAATTTCCCTTGCCTCCACTCATCAACGAATACTTATACTCGCCAAAGTGAGGAACAGCCAATATGGAAACAGGATCGAAGTAATCCAAACTCCCTCCAGGGCTAACACTCTCCAAAGAGCCAAGAATCAAACTACTAACGTTCCCTGGATCACTAACCGGGTACTTGAGCTTCAGAACAACACTTGAAGAAGGAGCAAAACTCACAGCGTGAGAGCTTCCGAGACTGGATCCAGATCCAACCATACACAGCTCCCCTGTCTTCCTAGCCCAGAAGCCATAGAACTCGAACCCTACGGCCTTGGTCCTCACAGGAATTCTCGGCCCTCGGAAGCGGATCTCTCTCAAATTCCGGTTGTTGTGCCACATCGAGTAACCTCGGGGAGGGAGGTGGAACTTGAGACTCGCTTGGAGCTTGAGCACGTCGGGATTTTCAGTGACGAAGATAGTGCGGCGTTTCGGGTGGAAAGAGAGCGAGATTCCATCGGAGTCTATCGACGATTTACCTGGGAAGATTTGACTCCCGCCCGTGAAGTACGCAATGTCGAAGTGGAGGATCATGTCCTCGCCGCTATCCAAATTCATCGGCTTCGCGGTTTCGGGGAACTCCGGGACGGTTTTGTGGCAGTACTTGTTATAGTGCGAAAGGAAGGCCACAGCGGGCGTCTTTGCGTCGGCCAGGTGGAGGCAGGCGAAGGATGAAAGAAAGACGGCAATCCATCCGAGGAGCCGCATTGGGATTGGTCGAGGATTACATCGAGGAGAAATCGCCGCCGGCCGAAGATCGCCTGTTCCGATCATCGGTGATGGGGACTCTTTGCCTTTTGGTGCTTTAACACAGCGGCCAGTGGGAGAGGCAGAAGGGGAACTAGAAAGTGAAAGCAAAACAGTTTAGACCAACTAACTATATTACATGGGCTCAGCCCAACAAACTGATAGTAGGCCGATCCTAAACAAAAATACTGGCCCAGAAAATTTTTCTTTTCTTTCTCATCCTCAAATTCCTTCAAATCCAAACGATAGCATAAATCGCTCTCCGCGTCAGATAAAATTGGAACGATAACATAAATCAATTCTTCCTTGTATTATCAAATCCTTATAGGCTGCATAGTCCACAACTATCTCATTGTCCACACAATTACGAACGACTAGTCATTGAAAACATAAATTCTAAAAAAATGGACGCATACAATGGTATGTTATTCATTAATCGAACCAACAGTAAAACCGACAAGAGCATGTGGTTCTCTGTTCAGTGACCTCAAGTATCAGGACTTTATACAAATAAACCACTACAAGGGTCAAGGAACACTGATAATGAGAACTAATCAATGAACAATCATAACATCAGTTGGCTCAAGTGATGTTAAAAGGCCATGATCCGATAATTGTTGGGAAATGAATGACAAATATTCTTTTATGAGTGAAAATTTTGAGTTCGCCAGATCTCTGCACATGAATCAATCAGCAATCATCAAATTGGGGTCATCTTCTCAAGAATCCCATTGCTTGATAAACGTTGTTAAGGGTGGCATCTGCTATATCTGAAGCCTTCGTCGCACCATCTTCCAATACTCGATCCAGATAACTCGATCTGCAATGATTTCCTCGTAGCGAGCCTGGTTAAAGGCAAGAACCCGTCATGTTAGCTGTCTCAATCACATGTTATTATGTAAGGTGTTTAACTCTTCCAACACTGACTTCGTCGGGAGCTTGAACCTGATGGGATTGAATAGAACCATCCCGGCTAGTAGCATGAGTATTAGCAGCTTCAATTGATATATCCAGTTCTTTCAGCTCAATGCATTTGAATCACTCATCTTTATCATCTATTGCAGGTGATGATAACACATCAAGGTAAACATGATCCACAGAGAATAGAAGTGGGGGCAAGTAAATTTATGCATTCCACATACCTCTCTTTCTCTGTTAAAACTTGCTTACAATCTCCTCAAGCAAGGAATCAACTTTCAGCAAATATATTTCATGAAGGATCTTCTCTAGGGTTAACTCTTTATTAACCTTGTGAGATAGTTTAAGACTCCCCGAAGAATCACTCATTCTATCCCTCTTCATGACCAGTGACAAGGCAACAAATATTTCTTCATAAGCTTTTGCCTTTTTGCCATCAAAGATGGATAATTTCCCACTCAACCAAAAGTACCTGATCCAGAAGTTGCATTTTTCACTTGACAAGGAATCGATAGAAATGAGATCAGAACAACTAGAGTGATCAGACCAACTTCCACCCTGATTTTCAAGGGTTAGGGGAAAAGGATAGTCCAGCGCTACTGATTCCACAATTTTGCATAGATGATACAATGCTTCTGACACGAAATCTGAGAGCTTCGAAGCATTGGAAGGAAAAAATGCAAGGTCGTAATACACCTCAGCCAGAAAAAGACTGCATTCAGGAGTTCTATCTTTCCCCCAATTTCTTGTCAGCCCTTCCAATTCAAGGAGTTTGGGCAATGCATCCTGGCACATAAGACCACTAGTTGAAACATGTTCGATAAGCAAGTGGGCCATATCATAAGCACCATAATTTCTTGATGTTCCTTTGACAAATGCTAAAACATCATTCAGTTCCTTATCAGGTGAACTAGCCTCGGCAGCGTGTGGAGCAGAACAAGTAACTGCATGCTCAGAACTTTCACCTGAGGGTGTGCCAACTATAAAAGGATCTAGATACTGGAGTACAAAACTGACCAAATCCTTCCTGTCACCAAAATCCATTTCTTCTTTCCCAGGTTTACGACTCCTAAGCCTTTCGAGGTGAGTACTCCTCCTCTCACGAGGCTTTTCATCGAAACTATGTCTTTCTCTTTCCTTGAGAGCACCAACTCTTTCAGAATTGCTACTGCTGAGAGGCTTGCATTGACTAGAACTACAAGGAAAGTCAATCGGCCTTTTCGTTTCAGGAGAGCTCATATCAATATCTAAATTGGATGGTGGTTGTATAATTAACCTCATATCCCCAGATTTGCGTTCATCAGATTTGACATCGGTCTCACGCGCACTGAGCGGATGTAAGATTTCCAGCAGAGCATCAACAAGAGCACCCCACGAAACTCCATGCAGCATCAACTCAATGGTCTGGTTCAGCCGTTTATTAGCTCGACCTTCATCACAATTCTCCTCAGTTGCTTTCCTCTTGTCCAGGAACTTAAGGCGGATATGCTTTGGTTCCAGTTTATCAATACCTCTAGGTGCAAATGGAACTGCCTCTGACTCTTCAATAGTGCTTTTCACATGCAAAGCACGAGAATGAGAAGGCCAGTGCCTCAAAATCAACTCTGCTACAGCAAGGCAAGCGACCTCGTCACCAATTGCTATAAGAACTTCTAATAACTTCTCCATGCAATTCCCTGCATTGAAAAACGCAAGAGAAGAAATTTCGGTTTATCCTTACAAGAAACATTAGTCTATGAAGAAACCAGGAGGTATAGGAAGCATCATTCATGGGTTTGAACTACAAGAACTGACACTTTGAGTATGTGAAACAAGCAAGAGAAAATGCTTACAGTTATTAGGGCTGCATAGAAGGCCCTGCTCAAACGACCATCGAGAAAGGCTGAGCAAACCCATCGAACACGATAAAGTTCCCAACTGATTCCAGACAACAGAATCTTTGGTGTCAATCTCAACAGCTTGAAGGTAACACTGAAGAGCATTCTCATAATGAGCTGATCCTTGCTGAAGGAAAACATTGGCGAGATTCTTTAGCGCCAAATATCTGCCCGTGAGCAGGTAGGGATAAATAAACTAGTTTGCAATCACAAACAGCAGGAAACACCATAACAATAAACCCCAGCCCGTAGTACTAGAACCGTAAGCTAACTAGTGGCAGGGTCAACAGGGGGGGGGGAAGATAAAAGGCAGAAACAGGTGGTGTGGGGTGAAGGAGGAAAAACCTGAGCTGCTGCAGATGAGTATCGCTTGCATTACCATCCACCTGAAGGGAAAAGGATGATATGAGAGTTTTTTCTTAAATGGGCTAAGCAAACAACACTTCGAGCAAAGGAGAGGAGAAGAATGATGGTGCTACCTCATGGGCATTGGAGATGAAAGGGTCTCTCAAAACAGATTCCAGCAGATGGCGAGCCTTGTCATATCGCTTAGCTTGCAATTCGAGGAGACCATCGTGGTAACTGGTAAGTGTGTGTAAGATGAGATTCCTGCAGGCAAACAGGTGGTAAGAATGTGAATTCATCGTCCAAATGCAAAAAGGAGCACAGGGAATGGAGGACGGGAAGAAGTGCCTGAGCTTCTTGCGTGGGAGCTAAGGGCTCCGATTGATGCGTGGAGTCAGTATCGTTAATTGCCGCGATGGAGAACTGAGACCGCCATGAAAGAGGAGAAAAAGGGAAATGTAAGCGAGCTGAAACTAGAATCACAAGCCCAAAGACATGCAGAAATCAATTTTCGCAAGCAAAACAATAACACTAGCCCTAGGCATTCATTGTGCTCTATGTGTGCGCTGATCAGGATTCCTGTTAGAACGCGTTACCATCGTTGTTTCTGAATTTCGGTTATGAGAATTGAGAGGTAGATGGGTACACAACACTGTATTGTTATCTGCCTCTGCTGCTCCCTTGTTCTTCTTCTTCTTCAACCTGGGGTGGTGCGGCTAGTTTGCTTGCTTCGTTTTCTACCGCCGTTGGAGTCGCCGTTGCTTTTCCGGCAGACTTGGTCGCGCTTCCGTTTCTCTCTGGCTTCCCTCCGGCTTCCTTTTCTTACTTCCTCCCTTTTTTTCTTTTTCTTTTTTTACTTACAGATCAGTTAACAACAATAATGGGCCGGGCATGCAGGGTTTGGATTGACTGGGTAAGGGGCCCATGGCCTGAACAACTCTAATTACATTATTTTTCTTGAATGGGCTAAACTTGGCCATTAATGCCGCTTCCGGAGAACACTTGCGGATTTGAATAGAACAGAGCACGTTTATGCAGGAGTACTGTTACTAGTTATCTGCGATTTCATTTTCCGGTCAACCAAAAAGTAAACAAAGTTCTAGTGACAAGGGGAGTCACACCGGAGATGATAAGCTGCGCAAAGACGAAGAACACTCACCTCCTCGGTCAAGAGTTACGAACGTTAAACGTTGCTACTACGTGTTCAGCACCTACTCTCACCTCGATCTCACTGTCCACTCTCATCTTCAAGAAAGATTGGCCAATCTGACGGGCAAAAGAGAATCGATCGGTTTCAACCTACGGTTGCCTCATCGTGAGGAAAACCAAAATGAGAGGGAAGTGTTGTTAATGAGGGAACGGATGCAGACGATTGGGGTAAAAGCATGCTGGTGACCTGAGTCTCAAATCCAAGTTCCACAGTTCGCAAACAAGACTAGTGCATTCGCAAAATCGAAGTGTTGCAGAACTAACTTTTATTCATTATGAATGTTAACTACCAATCTTTAGTTGCACAGAATCCAGAAAAGCAGTACTTTCATCCTCAAAACAGAAACAAAATGGCCACAAAACCAAACAGATTTTCGGCTTCCACTCAACCTGTTACTCCTGCTCTCTCATACATCATTTGCTACGACACAATAGTCACAACTGACCAGTACATTGGAAAAGTCTCCCACTGATTGCTAACTACAACAGTCATGAACTACTACTAATACTGCTACTCCCATCATATGTACAACCGAACCGATACATAAATCACCCGCCACCAAATAATAAACGGGCTCCGTCAACTGTGAATTAACATCTCAGACAAAATATACCGAAAAACGGAATCCAGAATCCTTCGCTCGACCCCAAAAAATCGGGGTGAACAAAGGAGACTTAAACATTAAGGATTTCTCTGTTAGCTCATCTTTTACGACTTTTTTCAATTGTCCTTTTTAGTTCCCCCTTCCTTTTCTCCTTCCTATCCCTGTTCCTAGTATCCTGTGTAGAGACCCAAAAGGAAAGAGGTAAAAAACACAAAGAAAGAAAGGGAGAGGGAAGGAGTCACTGTTCCTGGTATCTAACTATTTAGCATTTTTTATGTATTCTGTAAATTACGACGGGAGTGGAATCATGACTGCCAGAATAGCTCAAAATCATTACTGTACAGTGAACGGTCTTGAATCTCGAGATTCGCCACGTGCCAATTCACGAGCTGGGACTGCACCATTTTACACAGAACCAGCGCTGCGGGGAATATCCACCATTCGCTCTCATCCCTACACCCACAACACAAAATCACCACTCATGAAGATAAAAAGACGCCATCACAAATAGCATTCTATAAATGCTGCGCAAAATACAAATGCATAACAGAAAGGCTACGAAACAGAAGTGCTTCGTTACTGTACTACCAAAATGATTCTTACAACCCAGAAATCTTGGACTAGGAATCCGGATCCTAGTTGGATTACGGATCCTAGCATGAGGATTATGAAGCATTTTTTACATAAAGATAAGGAATTTCAAACTGGATTTTAAGCCATTTTCTTAGCTGGACAAGGAATAACTGATAGATAATAGCATCCCTCGTCCTGTTTTAGGATAGGCATAACTAATTGGATTGGGATTAGGAATAAATAAAATTATACACTTACATGCTGATATTCCATGCCTCGAACGGGAACTTCTTGCTTGATGATGTCTGACTGTTGTAGTGGATGTACCCGCACACAAATGCAACAACCTGCGCAAAAAAGGAAAAAGGAACCCAAATTATTCAACGAACCCACTTCAAGAACAGCAGAGAAAGCCAAAAAAAAAAAACCAATGTGCGGTTAACTTACAACATTCATCAACGAGGTAATGTTCCACAAAGCATAGATACGAGCTAGGCCTGCAGACCGTCTAGGTCCATGACTGAATAGAGCATTAATCCCAGCAGGAAATGGAAGAATGATACCCAGAGGTAGGATGAATAAAACCAGGAAAACATCCCCAAGTGAGATCGAATATAACTGGAGCAAAGTCAGCAACACTAAGCTAAAATCTCCTAGAAGTAGCATTGAGATTACCAAACCAACAAGATCCTGCCAACGAACAAATAATCTAGGCATCAGAAAAGCACGAGAAAGAAAAATATCAGGGAGAGGGAGAGCAGAAGGTACGCTTTCATACCTGGTGACCAATTGGTTTGGTGTTATAAACTATGAAAGAGAGAAGGTAAAATATATCTCTCTTCTCTTCAAGTGTTTTCAAACTGTCAACGTCAATTACACCCCCGTGGCTCTTCCTTTGCCTCGCATTACTCTCACTGCTTCTATTGGGTTGGGTAAAGAGAGTCTGTGCATATTCTCCATCTGTCTTCTTCATGCTGTTGACCAAAAGAGACCAGACTCTCAAACAAAAAGAAGCATTTGCAAGATAAACTGTGTACGCCTAAAGAGTGCTTCCATACGTCAAAACTGGTTTGCATTTAGGCCCAAACATAAATTCGTCAGCACCAAATTCTTCCACAAAACTTAGAACAAAGTATGGCACTGTGCGCAGCAATGTGCCACTATGTGTTATCCGACAATTGTGATTCAACTTCAAGCACAATCATCATTTATAACGTTTGTAACTAAGTGGCATGAATAAGCTTCATATGCCAGCCATGAGGCAAACAAATGGTTTTCCCTATATGGGCTCTCATCATGAAATGTCATAGGAACTAGACCTTTAACTGCAGAGAATAATGAGGAAGTCAAATGAAACAATGTGAGGACAACAAACAAGTCAAATAGGGAGCGACTGCTACACAGAATAGGCAGCACACAAGTGAATAGAAGAACATAACACCAAAGGTTCCATAAAGCTATACCGTGATTGCTGTGCGATTTGCTTAGCATCTTCCAGAGTCTCGCTGGATGCATGCTGGTTTTCTTCATCGGAAGCATAAACCAAAAGTCCGTACTGGCAATAACCACAAGATGTAGCCTGAAACCTGACAATGTCGACTTGTACTTGATGCACCTTCAGAGCAGGATTGGCATGTGTTTCAAGCCATTTGACCAATGGTTTGAAGGTTAACCTCAGATGCCCCCGACGAACTAATCGAAGTTGTGCATTCAGACCAGCCACCATCCGGTACCAAGTAGTGGGAGGGACCAGCTGCAACCCAGAAAAAAAAATGCTTGATTTACCCAGTCGTCCTTCTGAATCTGAACAGACTAAATATCAATAACCTACTTTTCAAGTTAAGTTAGATAGCTTACCTGACTCATGAGGCTGGTGAGAATATTGTCACTTTGAACACAGAAGGGAGTCATATAGCTCCCATCACCTCCAAAAATTATAGTCATTGGAAATCTTTGATAGAGACTAGGAGGAAGGTCACCTCTCTTCTCATCTCCACCAAGGAAGAAGTCAACATATGCGAGCATAAGATCAGAAGTTGCAGCCACCTGAACAAATGAAAACAGCCAATCAAGAGCAAACAATATGATCTATTCTGAAAAGAATAAAAACTGAACACTCAAACCAAGAGCACAAGTGTTGCCAACATCCGAAATGGTTGAGCAAGTTATTAAAAAAAAAGGATCTGCCCCCTTGAAATAACATTTGCGGTTTTCAATCAGTGAATGTACTTTGTTTCCAGAACCCAACTTCATTCTTTTTTCTTTACTTCTACTGAAACTTAAGAAATACTTGCTACCATTTCAGAATTATCAGAAACAAACACACCCAACATCTTTCCTTTTAAATACACACAATATTCTCTTTTCGAGAACACAAGTGGCAGAGTTGGAGACTTGTCATAAATGCATGTCCGCAATCTAAATGCAGATAGTTTTTGTATTGCTTCTAGCTGTCACATAACAAGAGCAAGGAACTCTATCACTAATGACCGTTACATCATGTTGGTCAGCACAGCCTATCCCCAAGCGCAATACTGGATTACTTCAAATGAGAGGAAAATGAAACGAATAACCACAACACGTAAATGCCCAGACCTTAATCCCTTCGTAGAGAGCCCTAGAGCGGCAAGAACGTAGGCAAGCATGGTCATACTCTGATCGAACAAACTCCCGTAGTCTCTGCAATTTGACCCTTCGTCGCCATTGCTGCCATGACCATGCCAAGGGATATGTCGTTACAGAAAGAAGACTGTGGATTGCACCTTCCCACCATTGATAAGTAGCGATAGCATTAATCTCATCAACAAATGTATTAAAAGCTCCTTCATATCTGCAAGGTTATGAGAATAAGAGAGGAACAGTGATAATAATATGAGAAGTCCTTTAAGCAGATCAAAGGCAGCAAAGAACTTAATAATCATACTGTGAAGACAATATCTTACACAATCTCTTTTATTTGCTCAGGGGGTGAATGCGGCAGATGCCAAGGCTCACTGAAAGAATTAGAACCCAGAAAATACATTCTGTGCACATGGCTCTGGGACTCCTCAGCTCTATTTGTTTCCAACACCTGGAGAAAGGGAATGCAAGTCATTAGCCTACAAGCAGAGAATCAAAAGCTTAACCTGGCCCTAAAATGGAACAGGAGTAACAGCAGCAAATTGAACTTCAAGGCAGCCCCGTGACAACTTCAATCAGAGTGTACCAGACATGTTGAAGGGACGGGAACCAACCTCGTTCAATGATTCCAAGAATGGGAATGAGTGATCAATCTGAGAACCGTGCTGGGTGGGAGCTGGGCCAGATAGTTCATCACCACCCACAAATTTCATCCTGGCGACACTTAGTACCAATGCCAAAAGAATGAGCAGACCCAGAAGAAGAAGTCCAAACAACCATGGTCCACCAAATGTGTAAATCAACTCTTCAAGGGCTGTATAACAGTTCGGCATGTGGAATCTATCGGAAATACATCTGTAGGGACACGGTGTTTCAGCAATACCACCTGTTCACATAGACAATCATTTAACGTTAGTGACTCTGGTGGTGTGGGGCAACAGATCAAAGGTCTATCACTAACTAGATCATTGGCCTACTCAAATTAACATTTCAAACTTTATGGGTGAGGGTGATTCAGTAACAGCTTCCTCCACCAATACTGTAACCTTAATTTCCATAAGCACTTCATTCTACAACTGATTCAAAGCTCAATAAGAATGTAGAACTTTAAGACTGATTTCAGCATGTCCTGTTGTCTCTTGCAACCCACAGTCTAATCACAAGCTCGAAAGGAAATCAGCAAAACTAACGACCGGTATTTTTCATTAAGGAAAAATTACCTCTAACAGAAATGTATAGAGCACGACTAGGAAGCTCATCAGCTGGGCAGGGTCGGCAAAGAGTCTGATCAGATCCAGTAACATTCTTGTAAGTTCCAGCTGGACATTCCTGCAAAAGTTAAGAACAGAGAATGAGAGAAAACATAAAACTTATTTACCAAGTAATTATCAGAAAACACTGAGTTTAGAAAAAATTAACTGCACACATCAAATTGTCATTTTATCAGGACTCACTTTGTGTAGAATGATCCCAGCATTTATCCGGTCAAATGAAATCGACCACACATTTATCATATCACTGTTCATTATTGGAACTTTCATGGGTACAAATTACCCAAAACCATTGCATCCAAATATACCTAGAGGTCAGGGAAACAATCTCTTTCCAGCTTCATAGCTTAGGAGCTGAAGAGTCCATTTCCAAGACTTGCAACAGTTCCCCAACCATTACATGAACATACAAACCACTACCAGAAACCTCGTGAAAATTTTACCAGCCCTACCAACCAATACTCCTAGATGAGAGTAACATAGGCAGTGTTGATTCCAGTGTTCAGATTAAAAGATTAGGAATCACAAGAAAACCATCGTCAAAGAACCTTGTGAAAAAAACTAAGAAATCGTTATGATACCTTGCAAAATACTCCATATAGTCCTTTCGGGCAGGCTTTTCCAGTTACTGTTCCGTTTTCGCCAGAACCACCTCCGTCCTTCCCCAACCCGGCCCTGAAATAATAGTTACAAGGATAATTAACACAATTGATGCCCATATAAGAGACAAAGTTTTCACTTTTACAATCATCTTGCTATTATAGGTTCATGTAACCAGACAACAATGGAAAAGTAAGCAGCGAATTTTGCAGCATCAGTTGGCACCAATAGAAACAGGGCAGTGCTACAATTTACAATGAGCCAATGACTTTTCCAAACCAGAGAACCCAAACTAGGGACAGAAATTGAACATTCAATAATGTACATATACTATCTGCAGTCTGCTCTATATCATACTGGGAATCCAGGGTAGCCAGAAATCAAAGAATTTATTATCATCGATTTGGTACAAACCTAGAGTAGATGCTTCCCTTCACACTGGCAATCGGCTGGTAAACATCGCCAGCTGGAATGTCCGCCCAATGAAAGTGAATCCTCCCCCCACCTCCTCCGCCACCCCCCTGAGGACTACCATAGCCACCAGAACTTGAAAGAAAAGCAGCCTCACCAAGTTCTATCGTCCTCAAGAACATAAGGATGGTTCCCCCAGAACCACCCCCAGGACCACCGACACTATCATTCATAGAAGCAAGCATCCCATTTTGAACAGTTTGCTGAAAACTTTCTCCATCAGCTCTTACTGATCCTTCAACAGACAAACTTGACAATGGATGCTCCAGAGAACCCATCACTGCTCAAGCAGGTTGAAAATATCGACACAATTCAATGATCAATCAACTGATCAGAGAGATACTTGAATCCTCAAAGTGAATAAACTAAATCATGTCAAAATCCAAAATGAGGTGTTGCAAACTCAACAGGCTTGATGTATCAACAGAAGCTAACATAAAATATTCACGATGCACTCAGACCACATTTAACTTAGGGGTCGTTTGGATGAAGGATTGTAATGAGGAATTTGTGAGAGATTTTAAAACAATCTCATTGTGCAGGATTTTAAAACATTCTTGCGTTTGGGAATATGAGAAATTGTTGGCATCAGGAATTTCAAAAACCTACAAGTGTGGGATTTTAAAATAGCTAATGGAGGTCAGCTATTTTGAAATCTCTCATTTTTTTTACCTTTCTTCCAAACCTGTCCTTCCTTCTTCTCCATTCTGCCTTTCTTCCTCCCCCATACCCAGCACCGGAATCTTCCCTTCCATACCCGTTGACCAGCGACGATCTCTCTTTCAACCGATTTGAACCGTCATCGCCACTCGCCATCGTCGTTCGACTCACTGGGGTCACCCCCACTCTGCTTTTCTTCCCCTGTACCGGTTGGTCGCGATCTGTCACTGTTCTGCGCCGAACAGACTTGCGACGAATCTTGTTGGTGTTGCAATCGCTGTTGTTTGGTGGCATGAGTCGGAAAATTCAACCTCTATTCCGCCGGACACATAATAGAAGAGGTCAGAGTCCGACCAGGGAGTTCTCTGTCCTTGTCGTCGTTGCCGCCGAGGATACCATTCCGTTTTCATGGTGGGGGACGAATCTGTGTTTTGGTTTTTGGTTATCTGGGTTTCTGAATTTATGAATCAAGTATGGGTTTCTTGCATCCCTGTGAATCAAGTCGATTGTTTTTCGCCGGATTTGTTAGCCTCGAGAAAGAGGAAATCTGGGTTCCTCCTTCTGGTTCCATGATTTTGGCAGATATGGTGTCCAATTTTGAATCAGTTCACAAATCAATTTCTAGGATTTCTAGTTGCTGTTGGGAATTATAATCTTCATGTCTGTTGAAAGAAGATGACGGAGGAACCCAAATCTTGTTGATCGTTGCTCTTTTTTGGTTCAAGATAGTGGAAATAGAATGCAGAGGAAAGGGAAGAAGAAGAAACAGATGCAGATGTAAGGAGGTGGGTTAGGGATGGATATAATTGTAATTGTAATTTTCTTATTAAAATCCTTCATCCATTTCCAAACAAGTTATTTTGGCCAAATCCTTCATCCATTTCCAAACGACCCCTTAGTGATTTTATATCTCTAGATGTCAATTCACAGAAAACTATGAGCATGTCTGACAGAAAATATGGAGTTATGGATACATAGTACTCCGAAATGTGCTCTTAATTTGATATGACGAAAGCTAATTGGTCCATAATGGGAAATTACGTCAAGAATAGGCTTACCTATAATTCCACCCCCTGCTGTTGTACCAGTTAAGTTTCCATGTCCACTTCCACTACCAAGTTCGCAAGGCAAGTATTGGTCTCCGTACGAAATGCCACCATCAATGCAACTATCGTTGTAACATCCTAGCCCACCTTTGCCACCATGGCCACCACCACTGCCGACTCCGTTGCTCAAGAAACTACCTCTTCCGACACCACCCGTGCAACCTGTATCAGCATGATACACTTAATTACCAAACAAATCAACAAAATAGCTATACATTTCTCATGTGTACATCAACACATTGACAATTAGGTTCAGTATGCTTGTCAATAGCATGTGCAGCTAATGATATTCTTTTCCTCTCAAATTGTAAACAAGGCTGAAAAGAGGAACCAACCTGTCCCAGTCGCACTAATTGTTCCAGAAGGTTGAACTGTTACAGTTCTTGCGCGATGGAAATGGACTACAGATCCTTCTACAAGTCCCTCAAGAGTAATATCCTCAACTCGGCAGATCTACATCAACTCAGGATATAAATTAGCTTAAGATAAATGGAATTCAAATATCAGAAAGTTCTTCAGGTACTAGTGATCACCTGGAGAGTAAATGAGAGCGATGAGTTCACATTGCAATCTTCAGGAGGATGAACCAGTTCAACAGGGCAATCTTCAAGTTCACAGTGGAGTTGTGGAGTACTGGAACGTAAAAAATACCTGTATGAGCAGATGAAAAGGAAAAGACAAATAGACAAAGAATTGAAGAGGGGGGACGGAAAATCAAAGTGCAACAATTACATAGCATCACTTGTTGCATTTTCCAGAGGACCACGCAAAGTAGATCCAGGACCAACCTGTACAAATTAGTGCAGAAATTGTTACAAAAAGCAACCAGAGCAAGAACTTAACCCCTGCACACAAATTATAAGAGCCTTGACTGCAGTGCCCAGTTCGCTCATGACACAGCAATAAACAACTTTTCTAGTTGAAGTATGCAAAACATTCATAAAAAAAAATTCTAATAAGAGATCATGAGTTCGGAAAAACATTCATAAAAAAAAAGAGTTCGGAAAAACAAAAGGAACTGACAACGCATGAAAGTGCTTGACAACGTATATTGCCCCAAAAAATTGAGTATCAATACTAACACGCAGTTCAAATAGAAATGAAGCACACTTCTATATAGTCGCTTCTATCAATGTTGTGAAACCAACCAAACCACCTTGACAAACTGCAGTGAGATTTATCATGACAACGTCCACGAGATACAATCACCAGTTACCAAAAAAGAATCTTACATGAACACGGTAAAACAGTGATAGGACAAGACGTTGGGCATCAATCCTGTCACCTGGTCCAGATAGATTCAACAAACCTTGTCCATGAACACCCAAATTTGCGTTGGACTGTATAACCGATGACTCCTGTTTGACAAGATGGCACGTCAGACATGACCACATAAAGTAACAACTTGAACAGTTAATGGAAGAAGTGAGAAAAATACCCTAAGAACAACTAGATTACTGGCTTCAAGCAAAGAAGTTGCAACAGCAGCATCTTCACCTCCATCGATGAGCATTTGGGAATTCCACATTAAAAACATTTTAACAGTCATGCGTAGAGCCCCATACACCTGGATATCAAATAGGAAATGCACATGTTAAAATCATACCAGAGAAGTAAAACAACAGTATTTCATCATCATTCAGTGACAGCGAAAAATAAGATACAGTTGGAATCAGAATAAACTTACCACAGGGATTGCTGCTGTAACTTACAGAGGGCAATGCAAAAGAATGACCAACCTCTCAATATTAGCAAAGTACAATCTACCACTTGCAAACAAGCATATACGGAAATAAACTTACCAACAATAAGATTTTAGACCAATGCATACATATTTAGTCATCCAGCTAGTTGCTGATATGTACATGCAGAAAAGAATCATAATGTTCATGTTTCATCAGAATGCAGAAGATGAAGCAATGCGTAATGCATGAATCACACCAGAGTGACCTCTTAGGAAAACAATACAACTAGTGCAAAGGCAAAATTGCTGGAAAATCTAATCCTGGACACAACATTTAAAACCTGATCAGCCCCTGAACCAAAAACGTTGGAGATAATTTTGTCACTCACCTTCATCACTGAGTCACTCATCAATAGTTCTTCAGCCAATAGTTCGAATTCAGAAGTAGCATAATGAGCTAGCCCAAAGCTCAGAAGTCCACCAGACAATAGACTTATTTGTCCTTGGACCTATGTGTTGTTAAGAATCATCCCAACTTGTTAGCATATGAAGAAGTTTCCTAGACAGGGATTAAAATCTAACCACAACAATTTGAATAAATAAATATAGATGCAATCACATACTGAACTACAGATATTCATTCCCCTAATAGTCTTGCAATAAATAAAAGCTTCATCAAGTTAACAGATAGCTTGGAGTGCATAACAAAAGATAACAAACTATCATGAAAAACACAATGCCATCTGATCGAGCTGAGAATGATCACAGTACTTAAATTGTCAATACGATGTGAAAATGAAGGTCAGATACACTGCGAAGTCTGCTAGCTTTTCCATTATTTATAATGATGGCATGACATATGTCTGGTGTGGTACATAGTTGTTTAGCTACTGCATCACTCTAGTACCAAGCTCAAAACACTATCCATTTCATAGGGCAAAATATAAAAGCAATCAGTGATTCAAAATTTCCCTTGTCAAATTTGTTATCACTGCAATAACTCGATCGTCAGAGAATCAGTTGCAACTAATAAAAAGGAGACATTGTTGAACATCCAAACCCACTATATGGGACTCAAAATAGGCATCCTCCAATTATATACAATATAAGCACCCCATTTCTAATGTCTACCACATATCTTGCACATCAATCAAAAATCACTGTCTTATTAATCCACAAACTCACTCCTAGACAGAAAAGGACAAGAAACAAGAAGCAGCAGAGATGACAATAAAGGGCAGATATAGAGATTTCCAAGCAATAATTAAGAGTTCAGAAACCTGAACACGACTCCAGAGCAAGGGAACGGTAGCGCGTGCACGATTTCGAACATAGACGTTGGTCCAAAGGGGTTGATTAGGAAACTCCAAAAGAAGAGTGTCGGTATTTGTTGAAAGATTGTCATTACTAACTATAAGGCTCCTTGGAACAGCATCATATAGCGTCCCAGCAGCACCAGCGTTTTCTGGACAGCCACGACTATTTCCTCCTGCATGGTGGAAGAATCCATGCATGTTCATTAATTTCTATCATGGAGAAACACGGTGCACAACAAAGTTGTTTTAAAAGCTTTTAAAATAAGAGGCAAGTAATTGTGGGGCTGAAATAAAACAAACTAAATCTACAAAGTACAAAACTAAATGTACCTAGCATCACAAAAAAGAAAGGACGAGAATAAGTCATTCAGAATTTTGAAGTCAGAAAAGAACATATGGAGGATAAGGGAGGAACAATTTAAGCAGAAAGAAAGAGACAGTGACAACATAAAACGATAATCCTTAAAATCTTAAAGTGAATTGGTGCCTTGGTGGGGTACTTTAATGCTCCCATACAATTTAGTGAATGAGACGAGCTATAAACGTCGGAATACCAAGTTGGGGTCGTTGACGTATTTACACTACATACGCAGCACCTCACATTCCAGTTGTAAATATACAAATGAAACGAGGGAAATCTGTCTATCACCAAATATTCACCCCTTCACCGTTATAAATTATAAAATAAAAACACAAATGTTCACCCCACCCCAAAAAAAATATCCAATAGCTGAAAGCAGGATTTATGACCTTCTTCATCATTAAAACAAAAAATATATACATACATAGGAAACAACACAACAAAACTCACCATGCACAAAAATTCGAGGATCATCATGCCTGCTGAAAATGTCCACAGCAATTCTCCCTCCACCACCACCAGCAAAACCGCTGCCCCCACAAGCACTTATCCGGCCACTTCCTGTCCTGCACAGCACACGAGAAACATAGGATGCAAGGACCTTAGAATAATCAACAAATCCCTAAGTCAAAAGTCACAACACATTGCAAGTTGAGATGTATCCATACCAGCTCTACCCAGTTTGATAACTATGCAAGCAAGATTGCTAAGGTCTAAGAACCAGGAGGTCGAAAGACAACTACAAATGCATGCAAAGACACAAGGGAAATTCATGCAGGTTGATCCCCGCTTAGTTGCCAAGTTTATCGTGCTGAATGAACTCAGTTGCATAATCTTCCTAGCCATCACAAAGTTACTAAACACTAGCGAGACTAAAGAATCTAATCTAACCTTATAGATTGCACCAAATACCAACAGGAGGAGCACAAAGCTTTTTGGAGTAAACAGCATGCACTACCATTCAGGGGAAGACAGATACTACATATATCACGGAATTAGCCTTTATTTAACTAGTCTATTCCTAGTCACAATACTTAATCCGACTCTTGAACATGTATTCCTAGTTCAAACAAATGGGCTTGAATTCAAGACAATACAAAGCATGCCGCTGCTTAACCACGGTCGCACATCTGCATTCGGTTACCAAACCAGTAATTAATCCAATCAAAAGAAGAAGTTTCCAAAAGTGCTCTTAACTCCCCGAATGAAATAATAGGAAACAGCCATAATATAATAATTAAACTGATAGCAGTAATTAAGATTGGGAAAAGAGGGAAGATTTTAGTATTTACATCTTATACGCCTTGAGGTAAATGCTGCCACCAGAGCCGCCGCCTCCTTTGGAACCTCCGTCGCCTCCATCAGCCAAAATAAGCCCATCGACCACTATATATTCATCAATGAACATCCTCACGATTCCACCACCACCCCCACCAAAATCCTCCTCATTACTGGTACTCCCACCTTTGCTGCCGTAACTCGCAGGATCCTGCAAGTTCTCCCAAGAGTAAGCATCCCCACCCCAGACATCTTCGGGGAGCTTAGTGGTGTCGACCAAGCAAGCCGCTCCCCGCCCCCCATGGCCCCCGCCAGCGCCATCCACACCCTGCGGGGTGCCACTGGTCTGCGGGGGCGGATTCCCAGCGAATCCAGTAGTATTGACGAAGGTGCCGTTGAGGAACGAGGCGTTGGAAGCGAAGAGGTTGAAGGAGCCGGTGATGATGGAGGAATTGGGAGCTAGAGTGAGGTTGCCGGAGATGTTGAGCGTGAGTGAGCACCCAGGTGTGAGGCAGCTGAAAGCAACGCCCGGGTGGATGTAGAAATTTCCCCGGCCCTGGATGTAGACCTCGCCGGTGAGGTTGACATCGGAGACTATCTGGCATGTGGTGTCCAAGGAGCCGAGGCCATGCAGGTCGTCGGTGCAGGAGAGGGAGGGAGGGTGCGGGGGCGGAGGTGGAGGGGAAGGCGGTGAGTAGTCTTGGTGGAATAGGGAGAGGTAGGCTGCTGATTCATCGGAATCGGAAGAAGGAGAAGCAGAAGAACCCGCGACGGCGACAGCAAGGAGGGCGAAGAGGAGGAGAGAGGGGAGGAACGGAGCCATTCGGTTGGTGGAGGTGGAGTCATCTAGAAGGGGAGTGTGGATTGGGGAAGAAGCAAGCAGCAGCGAATCAGCAACAACGCCACCATTAAAGCTGTCCAAGGCCGAAATCGAAGACGAAGCAGGTGGTGGTGACGGCGAAGCAATGGATTGGGAAATGGTAAATTTGGGGATTCGGAAGAACCCTAGAAATCAGATTCAGAGCTACGCCCTCTCTCCCTCTACCTCTCTCTATTTCCTTTCAGCTCGTTCCCAGCGCTTTGCCTCTCTGTCTACCTATCTCTCTGCGCTCTCTCTCTCTCTTTCTGTGAGAAGATGGAATGGGAAAGCAAACAAAGGGTATTCGAGCAAAAGTTTCTTTGCTGTGGAGAAGGGAAGGAGAGGGAGAAAGGGTGGGAACAGAAAACAGAAATGAAATTCCCAAAAAATTGTCAGAATTAAAAAAAAAAAAATGTTTATTAACTACTTTCTTTTTCTCCGTTCTTTTCTTTTCCTTTTTTTTATTGTTGCTTGGTGAGTCGGGTCGGGGGAGCGGTAGTTTTCTATCTCTAGTCCACTTTTTGACAAATTGCTCGTACGGGGCGACGTGTGGCGGTGGTTGGTGACGACGGCGGCGGCCGGAGTTGGGTGGTTTTGCAAAGCTGCAGCCGGGTTCAGGTGAACTTTTTTTTTTATATTTTACAATTAGTTTGAATTGAGATTGAACGAACTAAGATCGAATTTGATGTACGTGTCATCGAAGTCTTGAGGCTTGAATGTTTGTTATCAACAATTCTATCATTTATATCATAGTGATATTTTGTCATAAATTCTCAATAAAAGAGGTAAGTGAACGGCTAAAAGAAAATCCAGACAGAACGAGTAGACCCAACACTACCATATATTTGTACAAGTACCAAAAGAGTTTGACGGTTTAGTCTTTGAGAGATGCTACTTGCTAACCACGAAATATATTTTTCAAGAAGCACCATCGTTCTATATAAAAATAAATTGTTCATTTCTAATCTTTATATCCAATGTGTAATTGTCGAGGGCGACCCGTAAGTAGTGGTATGTCGACACAATCCTTACTTATGGTCAGGTGTATGACAGCAGGGCGGATACTTTATTTTGTTCTTTATCGATTCAGTCGGAAGCATATGATATTATTGGTGTGGTTTCAATGGCAGCGCAGGAGTTGACTCAAACTCTTATCAAGACTGACCGTCAAAGATTAACGATTGCTCTGAAACAACATCCTTCTCTTCGGCCTTGGCACTTTTGGGCATTACTGGCGCGGATCATTTGTTGTCTCCAGGCTTCTCCTTGGATTATGGTTGTGTTCGTGTATAGGCGTCTCAACCTGTTGGCTACCAGGTTGCATTGGTTGGGTTGCCTCCCAGATGAATGAATTGTTGTGGCTTATCTTTTGTCTCCTTTGCTTTAATGCTTGGATTCACTAATCCAATCCACAAATACAACTATACACGAAATTATTTCATCCAATTTATAAATCCATTAATACATGAATTTAATCCATTTGTCACCTATAACCCATACAAAGGAGGAAACCAACAGTAGGGGTCGTTTGGATGAGTTGTTGTGTAACGAGTTAATATAAAAGTGAAATTCCTCACAAAATGAGAATGTGATATTTGTGAGTCATTTCACAATCACTACCCCATTGAGGTATGATAGACCGATAATTGCACATGTTTTCACCCCTATTCTGAAGCCGTTTGTGATGTGGAATCTCGTGTTTTAAGCCGATTTCACGCTAGGTTGTGTGTTTATGTCATATTTCAGGACCCGGCGTTGGAATCGAGGCGGAGAAACGAGTTCTGGGTCGAAAGGAGCCGAGTTGGGACTAAGGGGGCTGCAGGAGGAAAATACCCGGTCAGGTGGCCAAATACCCGACCGGGTATTAACCAATTTTGGGCGCCCGAGAAGCAGAGAGGGGCCCGGGCACAGCAGTTAAATCCCCGGTCGGGGATTTTGGTGGTAGACCGGGGATTTTCACCTATTGTGGAACGGTGCGCTTCAATTATACCCGGTCGAGACCCAAAATACCCGACCGGGTATTTCGACCGGGTATCGCGAGGGCAGCTGGTAAAAGCCGGTTTTGTGCGTTTTTGCAAGAGAGAGCTGGGTTTTGGATCCCAAACACCCAAGGGACGAACCCTAGAGAGAGAGAGCGACTTGGGAACATTCTTGGAGCTATTTTGGAGGATTTCTTCGCCATTGGAGCTCGGGAATCAAGCCCGGACTTGAAGACTGATCATCTGAAGATTCTTACTGCAGTCTCTCTCTTCTCTATGGAGTAACTTCCCTTCACTTAGGTTTTGAGGAACCCTAGCCATGTTTGTTTGATTGGATGATTGTATGAGTACTCTGACTTGATAATCTTGAGTTCATATTCAATCTATGCATGTTTTCACGATTCAATTCTGCTTTAGTCGAGATTATTGATTCTGCTTTGATCCTATGAGAGCGAATACCTGATTAGGTCAATAGAGCACCATAGATTGATAGTAGTGGATCGATTGCTTTAGTCGAGGGTTGATTCATTGCTTTGTATCGATTGAGAACCTCTTTCGATAGAGGGAGTCTAGCTCAGAACGCCTTGATCGGTTGTTCTAGAGAAGGATACGTCCCTCTAGGCAATTGACTCAAGAGGGCCTTGTTCCTTTAGTCGAGACTCAAGGTCTAGTCAAGGATTCTCCGCATTGTGAATGAAAGCGAAACAAGTTAGAGATCATCAATCGTTAATCTGGCTAGTGGCTAGGGGGAATCATACCTAAGTGAGTTCCCAACCTGTAATTAGATTAACTTTAACTGTAGTTTGCTAGAGTAGTTTTAGTTCTTTCAACTTAATCTGTTTTGCTAGATAACGAACTGAAGCTGAGTAATAGTAACTCTAGAGACCCGTGGATTCGATATTTATTACTTGAGCCACTATACTGCAGTCCCTTTCATTGGTTACACTTGGCCATTGTTAGGTGTTGTGTTTTAGCGAGTCAAGTTTTTGGCGCCGTTGCCGGGGACTTTCTAGAGTATTAGGAAAGGCAGAAGTTTGTTACTTTAGCGTTTTTCTTTTGTTTTCCACCCTTGCTTTTCACTTGGGTGTTTTTGTTTTTGTTGGTGCAGATCTGAATCATGGATCCTCATGGCTTCTCCAACCATTGGGGGTATCCACCACCATCCGAGTGGTATTACCCCGAGACACCCTGGAGCAATCAAGGAGGAGAAGACTATGGATCCGGGTTCCAGTACCAACCCCCTTTCTATGGAGAACAATCTGACCCCTGGGCATATCAAGAACAATCTCATTACCAAGAAGACTTTCTCCCACAACCAGAAGGGCCATCAGCGTTGGAGTTACCCATGGCGGCCTTCACGGGCCATTCTGCAGAGCCATGCTACACCCCACAGCCAGATCCAAACTATGAACTGAAGCTTCTCCTGGAGCAGTTTGTTCGGGACTCCGAGAGACGCAATCGCAGAATGGATCTTCACATCCAAGCCCTCCCCTCTTCCGATCCCTCATATCTCCGTGATATGGAGGAGGCTGTTCAACGCTCAGCGAAGCAAACAGAGTGGGTTGAGCAAGTTTGTGCACAACTTGCTCCAGATCACCCTTCTGCTACCATACAAGAAGAGGACGAGGAAGAAGAAGGCTACAAGGACATTGTGGAGCACACAGAAGTTGTCACGGAGAGCTCCCGTGATGATCATGATCAGGAATGTCCTGTCGTAGCCGACCACCCTTTCCCACATCCCACACTGCGCTTTGAAGAGGTGGGCATGAGTGAGGAGATGCAAGAAGATCTCATGAAAGAAATTGCCTGGCAACTTGCTCTCCAATCCGTGCTAGAAGAAGAAAAGCAAGAAAGGGTGCAGAAAGAGGTTGTGGAGGATGACGAAAGCGAAGCAGGAGTAGTTCTTGATCATTTCCCAGGGGTGATACCACATGAAGAAGAAAGGGAGGTTGAAGGAGCAATTGGCGTCCAGGCCGAGGACGAAGTTGAGGTGGAAGAGGCTTGCACCGGCCATGAGTTACATGTGATATCTCCCCCAAACTTCGAGGGATTGCTCAGCAAGGACCCATTTGCAGTGTCTCTTTGCCAGACCAAGGCCACATCGACATCGGTCCCTCTTGGTGGACGCGATGGTGGCCAATCGATGCTGTCTTATCTGGTTTGGGGCAATGAGACGAGAGAAGAGAAGAAGAGGTCTCGAGGGTGGAGACTTCATCTGCATCAAGTACACGAGCCTTCATCACCTGCCACACCACATGCTCGTGACTTGAGACTCCACCTCATCGACGAGAACCTCAACTTCAAGGAGGTTCTAGCATGGACCGAAACTTAGGAGCCATCGTCCGGCTCACGACGTGAAAGAAGCGCTTGTTGGGAGGCAACCCAACCAGTCGGTTTGCATTTCTTTCTCTATTTATCCTCGGTTGAGTCAGTTTTGTTATTTGATGTTAGAGTCAATAACTCAACCTTTGTGAGATTTTGTGTGGTGCTTGTGTTTCGACCACTCTCTCCTCATGGAATGCACCGCCTGCCTCGTCCACCATCATTCACCCTTGACCCGGTAACATCGTTCCCCTTATCTCTCCCTCTACTCCATTGAGGGCAATGTCGTGCTTAAGTGTGGGGGAGTGTTTTGTATCGGTTGGAATAATTATGATGGTGCTTGGAGCCTAGTCCGCTGTCCGAATCTTACGATTTGAGGGCTCCAAGTACTGCTGTTTGATCATATTGGCACTGTGTTTTGATAGATGAGTTGATTGGTTTTCGGATTAATGCATGCCAACTTGTTTGCGACTAGTACAACCTATGATGAGGACTGAGATGTGCAGTAGAACGATGTAGGGGTTCAGTTTTTCAACTGTTTGCTTGCCAACTGTGACTTGATCTGACTTGATCTGATTACTTGTTCTTGCCAGTCGTTTATGCATCTAGTTCAGGGTATCAAAATGTGAGATAGAGCATATAGGTAGCCATGTGAGATTTGAGCCTGCTCGTTTCTTTCTTGTGCGATAGATCCCTCTTCCATGATGTGTAGCATTCACGTTGTCACTAGCTAAAATGATGGGGGCATAGGATTAGCCCACGCCCAAAACTGACTGTCCTGATGTGTCATATCCCCTAGTCAGCCCCTTTGAGCCGTGTGTTATCCTTTCTTTTGGTCTATAATGGAAAAAATCACCCTTGTTGCATCTTGTAGAAGGTTCCACAGTGTGGTTTTTATAAATTCTCTGCTGTTTCTGCTAAAGTCTATGTGAGTGTTGGAGGTAGTGCTTAAAAGTTGGGCGGATGTTTGAAATATGTGCAGGAGTGGTGGCTCTCTTAAGAAATGAAAAGAAAAATGAAAGAAAAACAAAGAAAAAATTGAAAGCAAAAG